TTGGTTATCAGATGTGCTGGGCCTCATGAAAATGATGTTAGGGAGGATTTCTTCTTTTCTATTGAATGGATTAGTTTCAGAAGACCCGTACTAGTCCTCGTTCGTACCCTCTTCGGTAGGAACTTCGGCTGTGAATCGTCTGGTCCTGGGGGGGGGGGAAAAACTATTTGGTTCGGGTAGGGCTATTAGTTCAATTTGCCCTTGATTGCGAGAGCGTGTATTGGGTCTTATTCAGAGTTCAACTTCTTTCCTGGGTTTTAGTCTTGGGAGGGTGTATTGTGTCAGGGAATTTATCATTTCTTCCATTTAGATTTTCTAAGTTTTATTTGCATAGAGGTGTTTTATTATTCTCTGATGTAGCTTGTATTTGTGTGTGATTGGGGGTGATATCTCGCTTATCATTTTTATGCATCTTATTTGATTCATCTTCTCTTTTTTCTTTATTAGTCTTGCTCGTGGTCTATCTATTTTTTTTTGTCTTTTTCAAAAAACCGCTGATTCTTGATTTTTTTGGAAGGGGTTTTTGGTGTCTCGTATCTCTTTCAGTTCTGCTTAATCTTAGTTTATTTCTCTTGCCTTCTTGCTAGCTTTGATTGGTGTTACTCTTGCCGTTCTCTGTTTCCTGTTAATTTGTGCTGTTAGGTGTCGATTTTGATCTTATCATGTTTTCTCCTGTGGGCATTTAGTGCTATATACATTTCGCCTTACAACTGGCTCTAAATGTGTTCCAGCGATTTCTGGTATGGTTGTACTTTGTCTCATCTGGTTCAAGAACATCTTTATTTCTGGCCTTCTTTCGTTATTTTACCCAGTAGTCATTCAGAGAGTTGTTTCAGTTGCCATGTAGTTGTGTGGTTTTGAGGTGGGTATTATTAATTCCTGAGTTCTAATTTGTTTGTGCTGTTTTTCTAATAGAAAGCCTAATGCGAGCCAACAAAACCAAGTCACTGGCAGTTTTAATTTAAGTAGCTCCATTTGAGAACTAAAAGGGAAGCGTTTACAACTGGTTGGATTCAGTAGGATTTTATTAATTAGGTATGTTAAGAATATACTGTATGCATTAACTTTTCATTTTCTGAGCAAAAGTTTTTTGATTTTGGTATTTGGTTAATAAATGAGCAATAATTTTATACTATAATATTTAGAATATTTTAGAATTCATTTGGTGTTTTTGAGCAAAAAATTTATGAAAGGATATATAGCTCATTTTTCTTTTCAATTATATTTCATGGAGTTCAAGTGTGAAGGTATAATTCGTGCTCATCAATTAATATATCCTGTCATGCCTAAAAATGATGGATTTACACTTTTCTATAGTCCTATTATTTAACATGAAAATCTTCTTGGGAACTTTTTTTAAGTTCAATGTTTCTAAGAAGTTCCTATTTTGTTAATTTTTTTCCAAGTTGATTTAGAAATTTTTGAATGCATCTTAAATTTTTTTGAAGGAATAGATTTTTTCTTTGTGTGCTATAAAGTACTCTGATACTCCTTTAAAATACAAGTATCAGGTAACAGAACTAACATCTTTGTGGAAACTGCTTTTCCTCTGTAGTTACCTTATTGCGCATATTGTGTCTGGGAGAAGTCACTGATTTTTCTGGATATTCTCCAAATGTCTTTACCAGTGTTTAGCATTATAATAGGAGTCAAGTCTTTTTTTTTCCCACTATAGTTTCAGATCTTGAACGTACTCTTTAATAAATGTAGTACACAGTTTGTCTTTGCAATGCAAAACCTCAGTCATGTGCCTCCCCACCCCTCCTGGGGGTTAATATTAGGAATTAGAATAAGTCAATGAAATATGGGAACATATTTCATGATCTCACTCATGGCCTGCTTGAGAGGGCCTGAAATAACTACTGAGTAAGAAATAATGTTAATCTTACTTGAATTCTCCTAAAGTTAATTGTGATAATGGTTATTTTTCTACTAGGTAAATCAACTGCTTTATTGAGAATAAATGCCTAAATGAAATCCTGCTTATTTCAATCTATTTAATGTATCTTTAACATTGAATCAGCATTAGAGTTGTGGCTGTTATTATTATTATAATTTAACCTCAGTTTTAATATCATATTTAGATCTAACTATTTAACAGCTGAACTCATAATAGCTACACATGTTGAGGGCTGCTTTCTGCTAATACCTTTGATTTTCAGTCTGGGGACTTTCTTTCTGACCACTGGGGCATGAATGCCCTGCTCATACAAAGGCTAAGCCAGGAGTTTAGGGGAATTAACTTCAGAAACAGCTCACATGCAGTATCAAGGGGGAAGCTAGTAATGACAGTTTTCTCACCCCTTCATCTGATTAACTTTGAGGCATATTCTACTTTGGTACTTTGCAAAGTTTATCATTTGGGGATCCTGTTAAAAATTCACATCCTGATTTAGTGGATTTGTGGTAGAGCTTCAGATGATGATGATGATGATGATGATGATGATGATGATGATCCACTTTGAGTAGCAAGCTCTACACTGTCTCTCAGAATCCCCCAATGGAATTAAGCTTCATTTGCCCTCAATGGTAACTTTCTTGATTATTCTCCTTTGGTTGTGTTTTCTTCCCTTGCCTATTTCTCACTTCTCTATTCCCCTACCAGTGTTTCCTACTTGCATGTGAATTCTTATTTCAGGTTGCTTCTGGGGTAACCCAAGCCAAGAATACGCATCTATCTATCTATCTATCTGCTCACCTATCCATCCATCTATTATCTACATCTATCCATCCATCCATCCATCCATCCATCCATCCATGTAATGCATTCATCTATCTTCCATTTGTCTATTTATGTAATCTATTTATCTATCTATCTTATCTATCATGTATCTAATATATTCATCTATCCACCTACCTATCTATTCATCTACTTAATCAATTCATCTATGTATCTACTATTTATCTATCTAATCTATTCATCTATCCATCCATCTATCTAATCTGTCTACCTACCTACCTACCTACCTACCTACCTACCTACCTATCTGGAACATAGCAACACAGCACAGCCTCTTTAAAAATCCAGTAGATTGAAGAGCTGAAAGAGAAAGAATGAAGACATACTGGAGGGGGTGGAAAGGAAACGTTGATGACTACCAGCTAAAGGGACTTTTTCTTCCTTCTTGTGTCATTTTCAACAGGATATGGTATCATGGAGCTCCGGTGAAAGAAGAGACTAGGCAGTCAGCTACGGTTACATAAACTGGGCAGCTCCATAAGTCCATGGAGGAATCCCCTTTCTACTAGGAAAGATGGACAAGGACTTTATGCCTGATTCTACTATTCAGGGCACACTGCTGACAGGGTTGGCCAGTGAGGCCATAGAGAGAAGGCAGGCCAAATGGTAATCTTGGAAAGGACGGAAATCAGCATAAGTAGAGAGACGCAGGGTGAAGTGGTAGCGAACAGCGGATGTCACACTGTGTGGGCTTGTGGGTCAGTCCTGTTAAAGGGAGGAAAATCAGTAAATGGGCTTGCAGATGGTTACCCAAGATTTCTTCATGACTTCGTGCAGCCTGTACAATGTATGCTCTTTATCTTGTGGGAGTGTAATTGAGAGCCCTGGACTTCCTCAGCTCAGATCCCAACTCTGCCACCTCCTGTTTATGCTACCTCAGCATGTGTTTTCAACCTCTTTAAGCATCGGTCTTCCCATCTATGTAGTGGGGACAGTAATTCCTATCTCATAGGATTGTCATAATAATTAAATGAGATGTTTTGTACAAAGTGCTGCTTTTATTACAACTGCAGGATAAGAGAGCAGCCCTGATACTGTAAATATCCCCAAGAATGATGAGGAAATAATGGTGGATCTTTTACTTGATTCCAGCGTTATGAACACACACATATATATATATACACACACACACACACACACACATATGTTTAACAGCATATAGGTAGAAAGCCACAGGAGTGGTAATACCCTGATTATGTAAATCAACCCCAGCTCTAACAGCTAAAAAACCCTACTACTGCTCTTAGCTATGCATGAAATCACCCCCATGGAACTTTTCTTTGAATAAAGCAAACATCTGTTCTTGGTGGAATGCAAAAGAGAAACTTTATTTGAAGTTCCTGCTTCCCCTTCTCATTAAAAGTATTTTGAGCACTACTAAAATAGTTCCTGCCAAGAGCACTTTTCGCGCTCTTCAGTTTCTTAGGTTCACTGGCCTGAGAACCAGCATTCAGCATTCTTAGTCCCACCATAGCTGGGAGTCTGGGGTCTGGGAAACGGACAGAGTCACTTTGTTTTTGCCATCAAGACCCTCTGATCGCCTCGGATGGTCTCACCTGCTTTTGCTTCTTTCCAGTCCTGACAGGTTGATATTATGGAAGCAAGATCTTGGAAGGCCAAGGACAGGTCATTTCTTAGGACTGTGCAAAAGAAAATCAGTCTTTACAGTAAGCTATTTGATTCCAGTAGTTCTTTCATCTCAGTCTTTTGAAAGCAACTTCCCCTCTTTAACCAACACCTGCCATGGCCTCTTCATGGGCTGAAGAAGGTGAGTGCTGATGGAAATCCCAGATGTGGCCAAAACTCCCCAGCAGCAGACAGGTCAAAGGTCTTTTGTACCCTTTCCCATAACAGGTGGCACTTGATCTTCAGAGTGGCCTACACTGTTCAAGAGGGTTTGAATCATGAGACATTTGAGGTTAAAAAAAAAAACCTGTCATTTTGCATTTTGATTTTTGTAGAGCCAACTACAATGTATTTGAAAATTGTGTTCTTGAAATAAGCCTGTAATAGTAGGTGTCAAAGGTATCAGAGATAAAGTGTCTACTCTTTTAGTGGTGTAAGTTGTGGTTGTTTCAAATTAAATTTCCTTGTAATATATGATGGATAATTTAATACAAATTAAATTTCCTTGTACGTGTGTGTGTGTGTGTGTGTGTGACTGGAAGTGTGTAGGCAGTCAGAGAGGGAAGAATAAAGAATTCATACTAATGTCTAAATAAATGAATTAATTAGTGGAAATAAATAGATTCCTGTTTGTACTATACTACAATTTTTAAGGTTAACCAATTGTTAATTAATACACTGGACTTGAAGGAGACTCATTTGTGTTGAAACATGAAATGTTTGTCCTCTCTCCTTCTCCCTCTCACCTGGAAAACATGAAAGATCTGCAACTCACAAAAACTAGTGTAATTTAAACACACTTTAAAAGAACTGATAGGCAGCAATTCTAACCTAAAGGGCTCATATCGAAACCACTGATCATAGATCTCTAAATAGGTCCTAATTAATGAGAGAGTGCAACCATTTTCTGCTTGAGGAAATTGCCCAGGTTCCAAACTGTAGACTTGACATTCATAAGTCATGAAAAAACATGGATTCAAACACAGGGACCCTAGGCTATTTCCTAGAGCTCCAAAGATGTCATCAGAAACAGAAACGTTCCATTTGACAACCATGAGATTTGACACTATTGACCTACATGGAAGGTTTTAACGCTGCCGCTCATTCTCCCATACGTAAAGCGGTTCAGCAGGGTGACCTTCTCAGGGAGGCATACATGCATTTTCTCCACACATCCTCCTTAATTCAAGGGTCCTATGTGTGGCTCCTCTAGCAAAGAATCAAAGGCCAAAGGTGGGTGGCCCAGACTCTTTCTCGTACTGGGGAATACAGGCAACAGCTGCAGCATATCACTGAGATTGGCTGCTGATAGGGAAAAGCATTGATAATTTCATCAGGTCTCACAGATCACTAACAACAGAATACCCTCCCGCTAATTGGTGGCCACTGTGACCGCCATAGTTGGTTTGACTGAAATCAGTATTCAAACAATATTTTTAAATTGTGGTGAAATACACGTAACATAAAATGTACCATCTTAACCATTTTTTTAGTGTATAGTGCAGTCATGTTAAGTATGTTTACAGTGTTGTGCAACCAATTCCAGAACTCTTTCATCTTGCAAAACTGAAACTCAATCCCCGTTAAGCAATTCCCATTTCCCACTCTCCGCAGCCCCTGGCAACTGCCATTCAACTTTCTGTCTCTACAAATTTGCCTACTTTAGGTACCTCATGTAAGCAGAATCATACAGTGTTTGTTCTTCTGTGACTGACTTGTTTCACTGAGCATTTTGCTCTCAAGGTACATCCATGTTGTAGCATGTGTCAGAATTTCCCTTCTTTTAAAGGCAGAGCAATATTCCATTGTATAAATATACCACGTGTGGTTTATCCATTTACCTGTCAATGGATATGTGGGTGCTTCCACCTTTTGGAGACTGTGAATGATGCTGCTATGAATGGGGGCATAGAATCAGTGTATTTAATTCTAACACTAAAAGGCTCATATTCCATTGCATGACTAACCCACTCTATGATCCTCAATAAGTCACGTGTTTTGTAGACAGCATACGATTGTTCTAATTCAGGGATCCCTTTAGACCCATGATACTCATTAATATAGCTGAGTGGAGTTAGAGAATCTGTAGGCATAGAGCAGAAAGAAAGGGAACCAGTCTAAAAGTTGATGTAAATTTAAATCTTGGCCTCCTTACCACTAAATTTTCATTGCCCAGACTGTTCCAACCAAGATACACTGAATGAATATTACCCAAAAGTTCCACCCTTATTGATAGAACAGTCGTGGCTAACACTTGCATAGTGTTTAAAATGTTCTAGACCTCATTTTTAAGCTACGTACACTATCATCATCATAACTGTTTTACAAATGGGAAAATGAGTCTGGGTGGTTAAGTCCCTTGCCTAGTGTGTGAAGTCAGTCGGGGCTGGTGTTTGAATGCAGGTAGTTTCACTCCAGAGTTCACGCACTTGACCATGACACTGGGGATATATATGGATAGATGTATCTGAGAAAGTGCATGATAGGGTTTTTTGACAATCAACAATGAGAGGAGACATCTTAGAACTCCAAATCAATATTGTTTAAAAATGGTGCAACAACATTAGTTGTGTGCAACAACAATTAGTTGTGTGGTTTTTAAATTGCACACAACTAATTGGAATCCCAACTCAGCCAGTGGCTGTTTGATAACAGTGACCAAGTTTTTATTCTCTTGGCTTCAGTTTCCTTATGTGAAAATGAGAATAATAATATTCACATAATTCAGTTGTGGAAAATTAAGAAAATAATGTTGTAAAGTGCTTAGCTTATAGTAAGTACTCAATAAATGTTAGTTCTCTTCAGTCTTTTGGGGCAAGAGAAGAATATGATCTCAAAAAACAGAAATATGTTGGCCGGGTGTGGTGGCTCACGCCTGTAATCCCAGCACTTTGGGAGGTCAAGGCATGCAGATCACAAGGTCAGGAGATAGAGACCATCCTGGCCAACATGGTGAAACCCCGTTTCTACTAAAAATACAAAAATTAGCTGTGCATGGTGGCCCGTGCCTGTAATCCCAGTTACTCAGGAGGCTGAGGCAGGAGGATTGCCTGAACCAGGGAATCGGAAGTTGCAGTGAGCTGAGATTGTGCCATTGCACTCCAGCCTGGAGACAGAGCGAGACTCTGCCTCAAAAAAACAAAAACAAAACAGAAATACATTTTCATAAAGGCATATGTTGCATAAACACTTTTTAAAATTATTGCCATTAAATATGAACACTTACCACTTTATTTTTCTCGTGTACGAGGAACTTAACATTTGGATTGCCTCCTCTCTCTTTTGCATTCTGCCAAAATCTGTTCACAAATGCAAGAGACATGTAATGGTGGAAACCTAACAATAGGTCCTAGTAAAATCAACCTTATATTTTCTTCAAGCGAAGAAAGAGCTTTAAATGACAAGACAGGGGCTCTATTAATGGGCTAAACCTACATTCTCTTTCCCTTCGCCCCAGAATTCCATGCCTTTGAATATTTGTCATAAGTCAGCAAGGGAAGTGCTGTCTCCCAGACTTCACCCAAGGTCATCATTACGTTTTAGCCATCACATAATCAAAGTCTTGCCTCTTCTTTTTATTTTTAAAAAATAGTGTAACAATTTGATCAACAGAAAATGGTATAAGTACATTTTTTTGATAAAAAATAATACTCACATGGAAGCTTAGATATTATTTGTACAGTTAGACAAGTTGATTCAAAAATGATCCTTATAAGCTTAATTGATTCAATAATAGCCACACTTGTTAGGATAATGTTACACAAGGAAAAATGTCTTCCCATTGCCCCAGTAGTCTTGGCTTTGAAGATGTACACAGTAAGCCACCAAGAGACCAACGTGAGATGCACAGAAATTCAGATCTGCCACTCTTAAAAGGAAGGTAAAGAAGAAGTTTCTTCACTGATATTAAAGGATAGCATATTTCTCTATGTGGATATACTTGCATCTCCATACATGTGTAGACAACAAATATTTCCATGTTGTTTCTCACTGTTACCCTTCTTTTCTTTGTAATGTTTTTCTTTGAGCAAAAAGTTTAACTCTTCAATTTGTTTCCTCTGTATGATGTTTAGTGATTGATTTCCATTAAATATCAAAAGAATGGCAAGTTCAAAAAAGCTTAAGAAGCTATGGAACTGTCTATAAGATGGATTCTATGTTCTGTTTGTGGATGAAATATGTTGTTATTCACATTATTGGAAGTTCCAGCCTACAGAGAGATAAGGACATTTGATTGAGTGTGAAAGGTAGGAATGGAAGTGTGGGTTGTTTTTCCTCATTGGACTCTCTTGTTGATTTCCAGTTGGCAAAATGCATGTCCAGCCTCCAGTAACGCTGCATGGAGGGTTGGTGCTTTACTGAAGGAAAGTGTTAACTGGAGAAACTTCCCTTACCTGGAAACGGATGAAGTCCTATAACTTTTAAGACATGGCTCTTGTTGTGTATTATGGTAGTTTGTGCTTTCTGATATCTTTTCTTTCTCTCTTTCTTTTTTTTGTTTTTTTGAGATGGAGTCTCGCTCTGTTGCCAAGCTGGAGTGCAGTAACGTGATCTTGGCTCACTACAACCTCCGCCTCCCAGGTTCAAGTGATTCTCCTGCCTCAGCCTCCCAGGTAGCTGCGACTACAGGAGCGTACCACCATGCCCAGCTAATTTTTTTTGTATTTTCAGTAGAGACGGGGTTTCACCATGTTGGTCAGAATGGTCTCAATCTCTTGACCCAGTGATCCACCCCCCTCGGCCTCCCAAAAGTGCTGGGATTACAGGCGTGAGCCACCGCGCCTGGCTCTGATGATCTTTTCTTGAACAACCATATCCCTCCTTTGGAGTGACTGGATGTCTCCTGCCAACATTTACATCAGATCATATTTTTCCCTTAGGCCAACCCCGCCTACAATCCCTCTTGAACTATTAGGTTACTGCTATAAAACACTATTCACAAATTTTAAAACGTAATTACTATTTGCATCTCTAAGTTCTCAGGACCAATTTTGTTGGTTATTCTGCACCTTACAATATTAGAGTCTATTCCCATTGTAGAGACAAAACTAAGCATGAGATAGGATACTGACTGGCTGAGAGGTTAGCAGTGAATTGCGGTTCAAGGTGAGAATTCACAGACTTTGGTCCACTGAGCCATGTTTCCCATGCTTACAGATCTGTGAAACAGCTGCAGTTGAAACTCTGAGAAATATTCTCCGCAAAGTGCAATACTTTAAAAGAACCAAAATCTCCCTTCCCCTCTTCTCTTCATACAAGAATCTGCCCCATTTCTCATAGCTAGTCACCCTCCTTGGTTTGAGCACCGTGGGACAGCAACTCATATTAGATCCAGTATCTCCATTTGACAAAACGTGCTCCTCCCAGTAGGGAGAGCCCCTAAGAATCTACTTCTTGGGCTTTGACATTGGCCAGCATTTTGGGACAAGGGTTTTCATAAATAATTTTTTAAAAGTGAAATACTGCATTCCTTAGTAGCTAGATTATTGAACTGGAAGATCATGAGCCTTGCCCCTATAATTTATAAATCAGTTTAGTCCTTTGCATCTCAAGGTGTCATCTCTTTGCTTTTTACCTCTGTCATTTTTTTCTTTATTTTCCCCTTGTTGTCTTCTTTCTCTCTGTATGTTTCTATCATTTTTTTTTCTTTATCTCATGTTTATATTTCTCTCTGGGCTGTTTTTCTATGTTTTTTCTTTTTACTTGTTTCCTTGCTCTTATTTACATTTTGCCATAATTTCAGTGACTATTTATTGGACAACTATTTCAAACTAAGGAGTGGGCTGGATACTAAAGAGACAGAATGAAAGTCTTTGCCCTTCAAGAAAATCAGCACCTTTGTAAAATCTGTTGTCTCTCTTTTAATTAACCATGATAGAAACCTGAGTTATCTTTCCTGGCTTTGTCTTATGTTTCTCACAGTTAACTGAAAAAGAGAAAGAAAATTAAGTATGTTACATTTCCTATTGCAAAGAAAAAAAAAGATCATCTAAGTGGCTTTGTTTTTTACCTTTTTGTGACACTCAGTTGATTTTATATATTTTACACCAATGGGCCTTGGTTGAAAACAACAAAATGAAACAGCGTATTCACCTCCACGTGATTCTCTTTCCTCTGGCATGAAAAACATGGTAGGCCGGTGAGGTGGCTCACACTTGTAATCCCAGCACTTTGGGAGGCCGAGATGGGTAGATCACCTGAGGTCAGGAGTTCGAGACCAGTCTGACCAACATGATGAAACCCTATCTCTACTAAAAATACAAAATTAGTTGGGCATGGCGGCGCATGCCTGTAATCCCAGCTACCTGGGAGGCTGAAGCAGGAGAATCGCTTGAACCCAGGAGGCGGAGGTTGCAGTGAGCCAAGATCGTGACATGGCACTCTGCCTGGGCAACAAGAGCGAGACTGTCTCAATTAAACAAAAACAAACAAACAAAATGCTAGCAATATGGGTCAGGTTCTCTGAGATCCTATTGGTTCACCTGTCTCATCAGTAAGCAATGAAGCAGTGCCTTATGGTTGGGTTATACGCAGACACCTCGGGTCTTTCACATAGTGAATTGTGTGAGACCAACAGTCCTCAGCCTCGGGCTTGCCTCAGAACCACCTGGAGGGCTTGATAAAGCACCTGTTTCTGGGTCCCACCCCTGGAGTTTCTGATTCAGTAAGTCCAGGCAGGGGCCTGAGAATCTGCATTTCTTACAACTACCTGAGTGATGCTGATGTTGCTGCTCCTGGAACTAAATAGTTCAGAGACAATTTTGCTGGTAGAGTGTTGGTGGCAGATCTGTACACTTATCCTTATTATCATTTTTTGTTGTTCAGAATAGTGAATCTTTGATATAGCTTGAATGTTTGTCCCCTCCAAGTCTCATGTTGACATGTGATCCCCAGTGCTGGAGGTGGGGCCTAGTGGGAGGTGTTTGGGTCATGAGGTGGATTCCTTGGGATGGTTTGGTGCCATTCTCACAAGATGGAGTGAGTTCTTACTCTTGGCTCCTGCAAGATCTGGTTGTTAAGAGAAGTCTGTTGCCTCCTTCCCCTCTCTTTGGCCTCCTCCTCTCTTGTCATGTGACTTATTTGCTCCCGCTTCACCTTCCACCATGAGTAGAAACTTCCTGAGGACTTCACCAGAAGCTGAGCAGATGCTGGCACCATGCTTCCCACACAGCCTGCAGAACCATCAGCCAAATAAATCTGTTTCCTTTATGAATTACCCAGCCTCAGGCATTCCACTATAGCAATGCAAATGGACTAAGACAACCTTTTAAAAACTATTAAATAAAAATATCATTTAATACACTATTCTTTGTTTTCCTGTGAGCAAAGAGAATAAACATGATTCTCAAGAGTCTCAGAACTTCCAGCCTTGGCCAAGATCCAAAGGGCAGGGGGCCCTTCATTAGATGCTACTTGGTGTTTGCACACCTCTCTCAACTGTCACAGCCATTGCTAAGGAGGTTTGGAGTCAACTCTGGCAATATTGTTTTTTTAAGCCAAGAAGCAAAAACATGAGCATGACTCAAATTATTAAATGTTGACTTTAAAGGCCTCCTGCTTTTACTGTTTTTGTAATTTAAAGAAATCTAATCCCTTCAAACGGCCCTGCTGTGCCTCGCCCTGGCATCATGTTTGTTTGGGCTTTGGATTCAACATTAAGATAATGATTTAAAGGAAAAAGAAAACAACCTTAAATGCCGGGGTTTCTTTTAGACCCAGGGCATGGACAGGCCAGCCATGTGGGTATGGATGTAGGACATACGCATGTTTCCGCAAAGAGCACGTGTGTGAGGGAGAAATGGGGAGCACTGGGGTCACCCAACTTATGAAACAAAAAAAGACTTTATTGCTTAAAAACCCTTAGGAACAGGTTGGTAGGTGGCTTGGGTGTCACAGGAAAGAATTTGGGGATTTAAAAATTCCTACAAATGATGTTTACTTTTTATTTTTATTTTTTGAGTTAGAATTTCACTCTTTCATCCAGGCTGGAGTGAAATGGCATCATCTCGACTCACTGCAACCTCCACCCACCCGGGTTCAAGCGATTCTCCTGCCTCAGCCTTCCGAGTAGCTGGGATTATAGGCGCCCACTGCCACACCTGGCTAATTTTTGTATTTTTAGTAGAGACAGGGTTTCACCATGGTGGCCAGGCTGGTCTCAAACTCCTGGCCTCAGCTGATCCACCCACCTCAGCTTCCCAAAGTGCTAGGATTACAGGCATGAGCCACCGCACACAGCCTAGAAATTATGTTTAAATGTTATTTAATAGATTGAAGCCTCCAAGAAGACACTTTAATTAACTCTGGTTTCCAATTCACTCCAGTAATAGTGAACATTTGCTTCTCAAATGAGAACCTTCTTTATTTTCTGAGACTAACTCTAAGCTGTTATAATATTTTTCTTTTTCTTTTTTTCTTTTTAAATTTTTATTTATTATTATTATTATTTGAGATGGAGTCTCACTCTGTTGCCCAGGCTGGAGTACAGTGGCACAATCTTGGCTCACTGCAACCTCCGTCTCCCAGGTTTGAGTGATTCTCCTGCCTCAGCCTCCTGAGTAGCTGAGATTACAGGCACACACCACCATACCCGGCTAATTTTTGTATTATTAGTTGAGACGGGGTTTCACCATGTTGGACAGGCTTGTCTTGAACTCCTGATCTCATGATCTGCCCTCCTTGGCCTCCCAAAGAGTTGGGATTACAAGCATGAGCCACCACGCCCCGCCAATATTTTTCATTTGAACCATAAAAAATTCACTGTGAGTACTGAGAGTTTTTCTTTACTTACAAACATCATACTATTTTTTCTTTTTGTCTTTTTTAAACACAGAGTGTCACTGCACCCTGCCCATGCCATCTTTTAAATTTATTCAGCGGACTCAACCTCTGGGTCCCAACGCAATGGCATAGAGAACATTTCATTTCAATTCATTCGTCTTGTCTGTCCATTTGTTCTTGGCCTTGGTAGAACTGGAAAGCTCCTGACACATAGACCTGACTGGGAGGGGGGAAATTTTAATGTTACAACCAAAGAACCACATGAAGGAATATCCCAACTCTCTTCCCATGGACTCATGTGATTTCCCCAAGAGGCAAACAAAAAGCAGATCACTTCATCCATCATCTTCTTTGGTCTTTAGAGAGCACAGCTTTTCCGGGACATGGACAGAAACCCCAGAGACAATCGAACTCGTCAAGAAGGTGACTCCTTGTGCTGGGGACCAGGCTAACCCTGAATAAAGGAAGTCTTACTCTCTCATCTTGAAAAGACCCCATTTTCAATTATTTTATTTTATTTACTTTTTTTTTTTTTTTTTGAGACAGAGTCTCACTCTGTTGCCCAGGCTGGAGTGCAGTGGTGCAGTCTCAGCTCACTGCAACCTTGGCCTCCTGGGTTCAAGCAATTCTTCTGCCTCAGCCTCCCAAGTAGCTGGGACTACAGGTACCCACCACCACGCCTGACTAATTTTTGTATTATTAGTAGAGATGGGGTTTCACCATGTTGGCCAGGCTGGTCTCAAACTCCGGACCTCAAGTGATTCACCCGCCTCAGCCTCCCCAAATGCTGGGATTACAGGCATGAGCCACTGCGCGTGGTGATTATTTTAGATATATATCCAGAAATGGTAGTGCTAGAGCATGTGGTAATTCAATGTTTAATTTTTTGAGGAATCACACGCTATTTTCCACACTGCTGCATGCACCATTGTACATTCCCGCCAAGAGTGCATGAGGGTTCTGTCTTCTCTACATCCTCACCAACACTTATTTGCTAATGTTTTTAATAGTAGCCATCCAAATTAGGATGGCCTAATAGTAGCCGTACTAATTTTTTTAATAGTAGCATTAGTAAATTTCTAAATCAGATCTCAGGTGCTTAGAACTGGAAAAGTTCGAATCTTGATTCATGGCACAGGCATCACCACTGCATGGACACATCTTTCATAAAGTCCGATTTTAATCATGTAACAAATACCCGTGAACCTACCATCTGCTTTAAGAGCCAGGACATCATAATTAGTTCATTATCCATGTAATCCTCAACTAATGCATTCATTTACCTACACCAGAGGTAAACATGACCCTGAATTTTTAAGTCTTTGTTTTGAAAATGCTTTTATTATACCTATATGCAAATGTATGTATATCTAAAACATATATTATTTACTTCTGCCTGTTTCTGAACTTCATAACAGATATCTGTTTCTCCAGGCCTTGGCAGTCTCCCAAAGCTCCAGATGATTCTCCTGCACTGCCAGGGTCCAGCCACTATTGCGGCACTTCCTACCCGGCCTCTGTGCCGGCTGCCTCCTTGGGTCGCCTCTGTGAACCATCAGACTGGTCTTCCTTTGGCTGACTTTAGGAATTCTGCTTCATTCAGGCCTGAGGCACAGGCTTTCTGGAGGTGATTCGCCATCCTCTAGTCTCTGATACATTCACCCAGGGTATCTGTCTTCATCTTTTTCTGGGTCTTAAATCATTCAAGTAAGCTCTTTCCCCACCCCGAGCTTTGGATCTGTCATCCTCTCTCCTGTCTCATCCCCTTTTCAGTATGCTCTTTGGTCCCCTCACCACCTCCCTGGTATTTATTCGTAACAATAGCAAAGAAGAGGTAGTGAAGTTGCAAAACCTGGGTGCCTGAAAGACTATGTACAGAGAGGAACAAAATGAAAAATGTTGCTTAGTATCTTTAGCCTCTGTTGACTGGGAAGGCAGAACTGGAGTTTAGAGAAACCTCAGCCTACAGGAACAGGAGTCCAGTCACTCTTTAACACACAAGCCAGTAAGCACGTCTCACAGAGGGATGACATTGGCTGCGTCTCTGAGTACACGTTTGTTCCCCTCTTCACGACTTCACTTAATGATCACAAATAAGCTGTGTGCTGCAGTGCGGACTAAATCCTTTGATTTAAACAGGTTGAGATGTCCTCAAGGTGTGTGCATGTTGTAGCATGGGTCAGAATTCTCTTCCTTGTTAAGGCTGAATAACATTCCATTGTATGTACAGACCACATTTTCCTTATCCGTTCTCCCATCAGTGGATACTTGTATTGCTACTCCATTTTAACTAGCAGAAAAGATTTAATAAACAAAGGAATTGGCCGGGCGCGGTGGCTCGCGCCCGTACTCCCAGCACGGTTTGGGAGGCCGAGGCAGGCGGATCACGAGGTCAGGAGGTCAGGTCAGGTCCCAAAGGAGGGCATAGAGGATGAGCAATGAACACAGGCTGTTCTGGTTACAGCTTTTTAAAACCATAGAGGAAAATACAGATTAAAACAGACAAAAAGGAACCATGGCAGGGCTATTAAAAGTCAGTTGGGTAATGGTAGATATTTTTCTTTCTTAACTTTTTCTATGTTGTTGATAATACTTTTGTAATTTTTGCCCCGCTTTTACATTAGAAGATGAAGTTTATCTTTAAGAGATACGTAAAGGGTTAACCTTAGGAAACTGTAGACACCTCTTCTAAGACAGGGAGAAAGATGTTAGGAAAACATACAGCTATGGATTATTTAGGGAGCAGAGGGAAGGGAATTTAGGATGTTCATCCCAAGTAGTCCTTAGGAAGGTTGTCCTTCCCTCCTAAGTGGACATGGCGACCCCTCCCCTACCCCGCCCCCTGTATTTCTATCCATTAAATTCACCTACAAAGTTTGACACCAGTATGTGTCTTCATGCCTATTCCCTCTCCAAGCCATAAACCCATCCAGGGCAGAGATGACGTTTACTTTTCTCCATATTCTGAGAACTTAGCACAATTCCTGCTTCTTAGCAGATGCTCAATCCATTCTTATTGAGAATCCACACTTTTTCTTGAGGGAAGTAGAAATTCAATCATTTTCTGAGAGTGCGAGGGTGAGAACTTGAGGAGTTGAGTTCTGAAACGAGTGTGGTGGAAATGAGCAGGTGGCTGCCCAAGAATCTATTCAAAGATCGTTGGGTAAAAATCTACACCAGAGGAGACAGGGATGTTCACTACATTCTTTTAAGAGCAGCATTCACAGCAATAAGGTAATGGATGAAGACTCGTCTTTACACGAGAGAAAACACAAGGTGAGGCCTTCAGAGAGATTTGATAGTTACCAAGTAAGTCTCCAAGACTGCCGCTCAGATGCTGGTGAATGCAGAGCCTTGAAGCCAGGGCACCGACAGCCCTCCCTCGGCTAGGGGATATTTTCTAGGGTGTCAAAGAATGTGATACATGTGCTCTGTCCACTTCCCTGTCCTGTGGCACAGGAACAATCAGAAAGTCCCCTCTGCTGGGAGAAGGTCACGGTCCAAGATGACAGGTAAACCCAAGGTCAGAAGCCCAGGGCTCCCGAGGATGCCAACTGGCTCCACCGTATCGGGTGATTTCTCACATTCCCGGGGCCAAGCCTCCTGTTTTGTAACAGTTCAGTCAAGGATTTTACTGGAGTAGACAAGCATGAAATGAATTTTCCAGAGACGTTTCCGAAGTGGGGGAAAGTTCACGGCTCCAAGGCACCGGTGGCTAATGAAACAAAACTGCGAGCTTCTGTTTTTCTTTAGAAAGAGGGCTTCCCAGTTTTAAAAATCTGGATTTCTAAAACTTGAGCTGTATTTTCAACTCTCAGCTCAGCTTTGCCCTGTCACTCTGGCGTTGCAAGTTGATGTTGTGCTGCTTCTGAATTAGCCAGGTGGGCTGCCCGGGTTCCCCTCAGCACTGCAATATTGCTCAGAGCAGGTGCTCTTGAGACCTCTGGTTGCGATTACTCTCAGCCCAGAGTCACCATTACCCAGAGGGACACACTTGGAGCAAACTTAGTGAAGGGTGCTTGCCTTAACCAGATGGTAATCGCCTATTATCAGTCTTTATTAGACTGTTGTTTATTATCAGGCATTCATCTTTGATTTATGTCAAACCAAATACTTAGTTTCAAACTAAAAAATACCTGGCCATCCTTTTTCACTTTTGGCATTACCTACCCAGCACTTGTCTTTGATATACATACGTACAGAAACCAATTTTAGGCTCCCAGGCCTAGGAGAAATAAGGAAAATAAAAAATAAAAATCAGTTTTATAAAACATGCTAATAAAAACATTTTAGTTCATCCTCATCCACCACTCATTGAATCTGCCGGTTCTGAACCTCGCTTCCACTGTTTAACCTCGAGTAACTTATTTAATAAATCACTGAGACTCAGTTACCTCTAAATTGGAATAATAATACCTATTTGGAGGGGGCTATTATGAGAATTAAGTAAAATACCATATACTGCCTCTTGGAATTACTCCTTTATCTCTATTAAAATTATTACCATCAGAATGCAGATCTCCAGTTTACTACACTTCACATCCCAGTTGCAGAAACGGTATCAAGGAATGACTCCAAGCTTATGTCCTTGCAACTAGCCTGACACAGACAAACGTTTCCCTTCCTGAAACACCACCCCCTTGATACCACCCTTGCTTGACGTTTCCAGTAGCTTCTTACTGCCTGTCCATACCAGCTGTAACTCAAAACCCACCATAGTTTCATCCCATTCCACTTCTATGACTATATTAAATGTTGCCTGTTTCCTTCGGAGTGCCCTTTTAAACCCTTTTTCCTGGAGGTAGGAAAGTCTAACTTAGTTTTTCTAACTGCTTTTTGTTTTGTACGTGTCTCTATCTTCCCATCTTGCCTCACCACCCACTTCTTTCTCTCTCTATCAAAATCAGTGTGCATCCAATAGGATTTAGCTGCAGACCAGTCCCTCCCAGAAAATAGTCCCCAACGTCTCCAGTCCACTCTGACCTTAGCCCCTCGCTGAGCTCCAGCTGTACCTGTAATCCTGACCATGCTTTCACACTTTTCATGGCTGAAGACTCCTGCAAAATATGGAAACACAGAGAAAAATGGTTAGCAAAGACTATGATTTTTCTGATTGCACAGCTCAGGAGATTGAGTTCAACCACTTAAACTAGCTCAGGCATGGCACCTCTTAATCAAACCCTGTCTTTCTTTAGTCCTTTCTTTTCTCTTTTTCTTTTTTCTTCCAATAAAAGAGTACTTTACATTGGATCTTTATCTTGATCAGCAAAGTTTTACATTTACCTTTCCCCCCCCAAGACGTTTTAGAGGTACTTTATTCTTTTCCATTTTCTAGAGTGTTAAACATGCTATCTTAAAATTTATCTTAAAATTTTTCAACGTACTTTATGTTGGATTTTCACAACATACTTATTTTCGATCCTTTGCTTTCACTTTAAAAAATAAAACAATGTCAACACTTCATACTGAAGCAAGAGGGCATATTACAGAAAATGTCTTCTATTTCTCCTCTGAAATTGATTTCTAAAATTACTTTGTTACTAAATGTGCTATCTTAAGCTGACTACCAGCTTTTGCAGGCATTTCCTGGAGTCAGAATGTTGGAATGCCAAGAGTTGTATGTTTGAGGCAACGCACCTGTTAGTTGCAACTTTGTTTTATTTTTTCTTTAGAATTATATACAAAAGATATTATAAAGATACAATGTTCCACAAAGCACAGATGATTTAGTATCTATTTATAATATGAGCTCATAGCATTACATCAGTGTTTTATAGATACAATTTCATATCCCAAGGCATTGTAGCAATACATTCCATATCATCATCTTTACTTTATAATTCTTGAGAATAAGAGTTAGCATCACATAGTCTTGAGATTAATGAATTTGAAATAATCACAAATGTGAATTTAGTAGCATTTCTAGAATGCCAACAATTGAAAATTATATTTGAGCAACAGCTTTCATAGTTATGACTATGTTTATAGTCAGATAAAACAAAATTCACAAAAGGGATGAAAAATAGAAAATATTTGGTGATGTTTGCTAGTGGAAATCTCATTGGTCTCATAACTTAATCTTTAATTATTTGCCATCATTAAGGGATATACTACTTAAAAGCTCAGACTTAAAAGCAAAGATCTCCCTCTAACCCGTTACAATCCTATGTCCTCTTTGAACACATGTTTAAGGTGAAAATGAAGCATGTTATTTCCTCTAATAGAGGGATACTTTGCTAACAAGTAGATTGTCAAGCAATCAAGGAAAAACAAATGGCTTGAGTGATCTAAAAGCTGATTGATCCATTCAACAAATGTTTATTGAATGCCTAGTGTGGACAGACATTGTTCTAGGCAGCAGCGATGCAGGGATGAACAAGACCAAGCAAGTCCACGCTGTTATGGGGCTCACATTCTTGCGGGGGATGGACAAGAATAAATGAGAAAATAAGCCTATAATTACGGTAAGAGCTTTAATGGGAATGAACCAGGCATGGTGATGAGAGGAGGCACTTGCTTTGAAAGAGTCATCATGGAAGTTTGCTCCAAGGAGCTGGCCGTGACATCTAAACTAAGATCTGACAAATGAGAAGGGCCCAACTTTATGCAAAGGGGAAAGAATATGCAAGCACCCAGAAGTGGAAGGCACATTGGAGAAGCAAAAAGACAGTCAAAATGGCTGGGATATAGGAAGAGGAGAGCAAATGGTACAAGGTGAAATGGAGTTTCATAGGGTCTAAGTCAACTAGAGTACTGTGAATTGGGGGAAAGCTGTACATTGTATTTTAAGTGCTTTTGGAAAGGAAATATCTGGATGCTTTCAAGCACAGAAATGACATGATCTGATTTATATTTTAAAAACACTTCTCTGGCTGCTGTGTGGGAATGGATTGTGGAGGGAAAAGTAGAAGCAGACGGACATGCAGAGACAATTGTGGTCATCCAAGGAAGTGATGGCGGTGGTTGAGATCAGTGTGACAGCATTGGAGATGGGTGAGGCAGGTGGATTTGAAATATGCGTTGAAGACAGAGCCACCAGACCCACTGATGGATTAGAAAGGAAAAATCAAGTATTGAGTCCCTGGGTGGGTAGTTGATTCTGTTACCTGAGACTGAAAGGACTAGGGGAGGAACAGGTTAGAAGGTAGGAGAGAATGAATTCATATTTGAGACACCAGTTAAAGAACCTAATGGAGATACTGAGTTGGATATCTGAGTCTGGAGCCCTGGAGAGAGGCCAGGGATGAAAGGAGAGTGTGGGAGTCCCTGACATATTGATGACATCTCAAGCCTTAGGACCAGACTATTTCACTGGAGAGACAATGTAAGTAGAGAGGCTGGCCTAGAGCTATGTCCTGGGAGTCCTTCAACATATTCGAGGTTAAGCTGAAGAGGAGACTCCAGCAGAGAAGACAGAAGAAACTTCCAGAGAGGCATGAGGAAAACCAGATGAATACAAATGAAAAGAAGCAAGAGGTTTCAATAAAGCAGGTGATCAGCTGTGCAGAGAGATTCTGAAGGGGTTGGTAAGAAGAGGGCTTGGAGAGGGCAATTGGATTTGACAACGTGGCAGTTCTTTGGGATGTAGACAAGAATATTTAAAAAGAGTTATGGGGACCAAAACCCCACCACAGTAGGTAAGGAAGTGGATCCAGAGACCATGAGTGACTTTGTTGAGAATTTTGCTAGAAAAGGGAGAAGAGAAATGAGGCAACAGTTAGAAGAAGATGTAGGGTCAAAGGAGGGATTTGGTTTGTTTGCATGTTCTGTTTAAAGATGAGAGACAGTGAAGCATATGAGCATGCTGAGAAGAATGACCTAGTGGGGCTGATGGTGCAGGAAGGCGTGTAATTACAGAAGTGGAGCCAGCCCTCAATAACAGAGTTGATTACACAACCCAAATGAGAGCAGGAGTCCTCAAACATAGGAAACATCCAAGCCTGACACTTGTATTCTAAGACACATCTTTTGACTTCTGTAATAAAAATATAAAATCTGAATCAAAGTGCTACAACTTATCTTCTAAAATTTCTAAAATCATATAGCAATGATATAAAGAAGAATCTTTAACTCTCATATTCAAAGCTTCATAAATACCATATTCATTTCTCCTACTTATTTGTAGTAGCTCATAAGTGAGAAGAGATGAGATCTAAAAGTTGCTAATGCTTTTTCAAAGTTTAATCTGAAATACAAGAGGATGCCATTCCCTATACTTAGATCCTCACTCACCTTGGGAAATGTCTGAAAATAAAATAATTTTTTTCCTTGAATGAAATGGCTCTAAGTTTAGAGACTGATTAAATATAAACTCAGCTGAGGAAACAAAAAAACACACAAAAGAAAAAATCAACAAAATGTATTACATTTTTTTAAAAATTACGGAACAACTTCTGACAAATTAATCATGTGTTTTTAAAATCACTATTTCACTAGAAGAAGAGAGAAACTTGGACCTGGGAAGATCCCACTGAGCCATCAGGAAAACATATAAAAGAAAACTTGGCCAACAGGCATATGAAAAAAGGCTCAATATCACTGATCATTAGAGAAATGCAAATCAAAACCACAATGAGATACCATCTTATACCAGTCAGAATGGCTATTACTAAAAAGTCAAAAAATAGATGCTGGCGAGATTGCAGAGAAAAGGGAACACTTTTAATGGGAGTGTAAATTAGTTAAATCTTTGTGGAAATCAGTATGGCAATTCCTCACAGAACTGAAAACAAAACTACCATTTGGCCCAGCAATCTTATTACTGGGTATATAGCCAGAGAAATATAAATCATTCTACCATAAAGATACATGCAGGCAAATGTTCTTTGCAGCACCATTCACAATAGCAAAGACATGGAATCTACCTAAATGCCCATGAATGACAGATTGGATAAAGAAAATGTGGTACATATACACCACAGATTACTACACAGCCATAAAAAAGAATGAGATCGTGTCTTTTGTGGGAACATGGATGGAGCTGGAGGTCATTATCCTCAGCAAACTAATGTAGGAACGGAAAACCAGATACTGCATATTCTCATTTATAAATGGGAGCTAAATTACAAGAACTTATGAACACAAAGAAGGAAACAACAGACACTGGGGCCTGCTGAAGGTGGAGGGTGGGAGGAGGGAGAGGAGCAGACAAGATAACCAGTGGGTACTGGGCTTAATTCCTGGGTGATAAAATAATCTGTACCACAAACCCCCGTGATATGAGTTTACCTGTGTATCAAACTTTCTCATGTACCCCGAACCTAAAATAAATGTTAAAAAAAACAAGAAAGTGTATTATACAGCATCTAAAGAAGGCACAGAAAATCACACATTTTTGCTACAGTTCAGGTACAGTGAATATTAAATGCGGCACTTTCTTGAAACATAACTCTGATGTCAAAATGAATTCCAGGATTAGACACTACTACTAACTACTACTACTACTACTGCTACTACTACTACTATAGAAAATGGTAAGTAGTCAGACTGTTATAATTTCTTCCCATCTCTGGTCTCCCTCCAGCCTTCCACCACTACCACCAGAATGTCACTGTTCTCAATCTTAAGATCTGAACTCAAACTTTCTAACCTAAGGTATTTGTCTCCATGAGCTTCCCAAAGACTGATGCATAAGATGATGAGAACTAGATAGATACAGAGTTTAAAGACAACTTCAAATTTCTAATCTTGGGCAAATAACTTCACTTTGATGGCAGGTAAAATAAAGGGGTTAATTAGACAACCTCTGAGTTCTTATTCACTTTTAACAGTTTATCATTCTACAGTGCGTTAGTGGTGGTGACCTTGCAGATGTCGAGATCATGATTTAAAAGGAACTGTTGAATTCCATGTTAATGCATCATTGCACTTAATTAGGAGGTTTTATACATTTCAAATGAAAGGTTGAGATGAATGTGTTATTTCAACTGAAAAGTTCAATAACATCCAGGTAGAAAAGGGGGCAAATTGTAAGGTCCACAAAAAAGTGATTTATAAACTCAAAAACATATTAACACCAACTTTAATAGAAAATAAGTTTATTCCTTCCCCCTTACCTTTTGTTCACTTATCTTTGCTTTTTGTATGCAGATAGAAACCACTCAAATAAATAAATAAATAAAAGGAACTAAGGGGGATGGGGTGGAAATGGAAGAAAGGAGGGAGGAAAGGAAAAAGAGAGAACACTTTTTCTTAACAGGAGGACAGAGTATGTTAGCTATCCCAACAAGTTTAAAATCTCCCAAATTAGAGTCACCTTTTTAGCAAGCTACACTCTTTGTAAAAATGATTAATAAATATTCTGCATGTGGTTACCTGAGATGAAACTGATATTAATTCATTTCAAGGGCGTTAAGCGCTTGCCTGGACCACCACAGATTAAGAAGCAGTAGCCAGGCCATGGGACCCTGTGGGGAGAGGTATCCATACGAAATGCTTTTTCACATTGACAGCCTGAAACTTCTTAGGCTTTAAGGTCATTTAAGCATTATTGCTCCTTCCCCTTTGCTTCTAAAGGCTTATCTTTCTCAGATGTCAGGAGAACATCCTAGAAACATCAACAAATATGACACCTAAGAGACTAGCTTCACAACTTGTTATTTTGCTGGATATATGGTATTCCAGTGACTACGGCTGTGTAATAGTGACTCCAAAACATGGTAGCATAAAGCAACCACTTATTAAGTCTATGGATTCTGTGGACAGGAATGTATACAGAACACAATGCGGACAGCTTATCTCTGCTTCCTAATGTCGGGGGGCTCAGCTGGAATAATCTGAAGGCTCCTTCATGTCCTCGTTGGGAGCCTGACGCTGGCTGATGGCCAAGAAGGTAGTTGGGGTTGGCTCACATACCCATGTGTGGCCTCTGCTTGTGCCTGAGCTCCAAAGGTGAGTGCATGGGGAGAGAGATGGGGACAGACAGAAAAAAAGAGGAGTGGGGAGAACAGAGGGACATGCGCAGGGAGAAGGAGTGGGAGGAAAAGGGAGAGAGAAAAACAAGGCAGAAACCATATCAGCTTCTGTGACCTTGCCTTGCAAGTCACCTAGCTTTCTTTCCAGGACATTGTGTTGATTAGCAGCTAGTCACTAAACCCTGCCCATATTCAAGAGGGGGGATTTAAACTCCCACTTCTCAATGGAGGAGTGCCAGCCTCACATTATAAACAGAGCATGTGGGATGGGCTATGTTTTTCTGTGGCAATCTTTGGGAAATGCGATCTGCCAAAAGTGGGTAACTTCATCTTTAAACCAGTTTACTGGCCTGTCCCAAGTTGCATCTAGACCTTATTCCTAGTATCCTCCACCTGCCTGGAGTCGGAAAGGAGATCTTGTTTCTGTTTCTCAGGAAAGACAGGACAGATTCTTATGACCTGAAAGGGCACCTCAACTCTTACCTTGGAAATTTCTACATGAAGAATCTGCTCTGAAACTATAGCAAACGTTCACAGAGTGTTTGAGTGTGAATCCGGACTGACTGGGGAAGACCAAGAAGCAATGATGATGTCTGTTTTTGTCAAATGTCTGAAAACTATTTTTATTTTTTTTAAACTTTATTCAGAAGTCTCAATATTGTAGTGTGTAGAGATGTATACTAATTTAGTGATATGAAGATGAAAGGCTTTAAGCCTGTTTTCACTGCAGAGCTCTCAGTACCTAGCAACTCCAAGGAAAAAACTGTTGCTCATGCAAAATTAAATTTAATAAAACAACAAAGAATGGTGCCAAAGTTTAATTAATAGGATAAGGTTATGGGTCAGACTGTGTACCCCCCAAAAGACATGTTGAAGTCCTAAGCCCCTGAACCACAGAATGTGATCCTATTCAGAAATAGGCACAGTGTCCGGGCACCATGGCTCATGCTTGTAATCCCAGCACTCTGGGAGGCTGAGGTGGGTGGATCACCTGAGGTCTGGAGTTTGAGACCAGCCTGGCCAACATGGTGAAACCCCGTCTCTACTAAAAATATAAACAAAAAAGTTACCTGAGTGTGGTGGCAGGCACCTGTAATCCCATCTACTTGGGAGGCTGAGGCAGGAAAATCGCTTGAACCCGGGAGGCGGAGGTTGTAGTGAGCCAAGATCGCGCCATTGCACTCCGGCCTGGACGACAAGAGTGAAACTCCATTTCAAAAATAAGTAAGTAAATAAATAAATGAATAAATAAACAAATAAATAAATAGGCACAGCACAGCTTTTGTTAGTTAGAATTAGGTCACGCTGGATTAGGGTGAGTCCTTAATCCAACAGGACTGGTGTCCTCACAAATAGACAAAGACACAGCAGGAACATGGCCACATGGAGATAGAGACACACAAAAACCTCATATCGAGATGTAGGCAAAGATTGGCGAGACATTTCTACAAGTCAAGGAACATCTGGGACTACCTGGAAACTGTAAGAAACAGAGAAAGGTCCTTCCCTGTAGGTTTAGAGGAATATGGTGCTGCCAACATCTTGATCTTGGATCCAGCACTGTGAGACAGTAAGTGTCTGGGTTTTTTTGGAGACAGAGTCTCACTCTGTCACCCAGGCTGGAGTGCAGTGGCATGATCTTGGCTCTCTGCAACCTCTGCCTCCTGGGATCAAGGGATTGTCCTGCCTCAGCCTCCCGAGTAGTTGGGATTACAGGTGCCCGCCACCACGCCAGCTCATTTTTGTATTTTTTAGTAGAGACGGGGTTTCACCATGTTGGCCAGGCTGGTCTTGAACTCTTGACCTCAGGTGATTCACCCACCTTGGCCTCCCAAAGTTCTAGGACTACAGGTGTGAGCCACCACACTCACCAAGTTTCTGTTGCCTTGAGCCACTCTTTCTGTGGTACTTTGTTATAACGGCCCTAAAAAATGACTAGAGATAGAAAGTAAATCTCTTTGTTTCTGCATATACTAAAACAGATGAGTAGATTTCTAGCTCCCTTAGGGTCTGAAGTTTTAAAAGAGAAATTTCTTATACTTATGATAATCATGATACTGTCATTTAATGCTTGGCTTCCTACGTCAGTGACAGCCTTACGTGTCTTCCTCCCATTGCATTAAATATTGCTTCTCCCAGGCACCATATTTGTATTTGAGGAAACTATATCATTGCTTTTTTCCTTCATGAAATCTTCCCCAGTCTTTCCAACAGGAAGTAGGCCCTCTAATCCCTAAACTTCCTCAGCACCATATCTGTACCCAATGTGGCAATTTTCTTCACCTCAAATGTCTCTGGTTATGTATAGGAGTGACATCTTCTCTACTGGATAAACCACTGGAGGGAAGGGTTGAGCCTTTTAGGTTTTAGAACAGTATTTCCCACTGCACTTAAGACAGTGCTTTGTATTTAGTAAGTGCTGCATAAATATTTAAACATTGGCTGAGAAGTTTTATGAGAGTTTATGCAATGAAGGTGTCCCAGAGCAAAACTTACAAGTATGTTTGGATTGGAAGATTATGATCGAACTCTTCACTACCGGTCACCGCTTGCTGGACTCAGCAGGCACTGCAGACACTGTACGCTATGTGAACAGGGTTCTGTAGAGCTTTGTAATGCAGCATCCCCTTTTACTACCTGGATCTTTCATAACCACAGGGTTACATCTTTCACCACACACCCTTAAAGGATGTGGCCCACAGAAAAAGCCCACCAGAGTGACCGAAAGCATGGCTTTGTACCAGATGTCTTGGGCTCTGTGTTGCCCCACTCAGACCTCCCTTCACAAGAACCTACTACAGAGGCCAAGACCCCAAATGTTGCTTTGCCCCTCACCAGAGCATTCATGGCAACACAAACTTCTAGGCTGCTCCCAGCCAAGAAGATCTGTGAAGTCATCTGAGACTCTTCCTACCCAGTCCTTTCTTCCCTCTCTCCCATCACAGATTTCACACCTGCATCTCAGTCTGAAGGCTTCTCCTGCCCCCTCCTCCTGTTTCTGCTCCCTTTATCCTCCATGGGTGTTGCTCCCAATAAAGCTCATGCACCTCTCATCTCATCTTGGTGTTTGCTTCTCAGAGGACACAGGTTCAAATCTTGACTCTTATTTGTAACCTCAATGTGTGACTTTGGGCAAATAATTAAACTCTTTTCAGCCTTAGTATCCTTATTTGCAAAAGTAGGGAAAGAACGGCATCTGTTTCACATGGCTGTGGCGAGGACTAACTTGCGTGTAAGGCACTTAGAAAGTACCCATGTGGTGAGCACACTGTGCTTGTGATCATGAATGCTTCAGTGTCTGGCCTGAAAAGGCATTTGATCAATGTGTGATGAATGTTAAAGTTAGAAGTAAACACTGTCATTACTGCAATTATCCATGCAAAGTATTCTTGACTCTGTGTTATAGGGATGACATTAATTCTCCACTCCCCTTGATAGATATTGCTATATCTTCATCTTTAGATTGACCTGCAGAATAGCATTCTGAAGCTATTCCAGGATAATTTCCCAAGTTCCTAAGCATTCCATTATTGTTTTAAAGAAAGAAATTATATCAATTAAAATCAGGCTGGGCACAGTGGCTCACACCTGTAATCCCAGGACTTTGTGAGGCCGAGGCTGGAGGATCACCTGAGGTTGGGAGTTCAAGACCAGCCTGTCCAACATAGAGAAACCCTGTCTCTACTAAAAATACAAAATTAGCAGGCATGGTGGCTCATGCCTGTAACCCCAGCTACTCAGGAGGCTGAGGAAGGAGAATCGCTTGAACCTGGGAGGCGGAGGTTGTGGTGAGTCAAGATTGTGCCATTGCACTCCAGCCTGGATAACAAGAGCTAAACTCTGTTTCAAAAAAAAAAAAAAAAAGTCAAATTCCTTGCTTATGCTTATTTTTACTTGTTCTTATTTCCTTACCCTTTGTGAACAAGAAGAATTGCTTTTGTCCTGTTTATGACAGTAACGAAAAATACGTCTCTACTCATTCTCCTTCTCTCTAGACTAAACATTCCTAGTTCTCCTAATGCTTTCTTTTTGATCTTCATTTCCAAACTATTTATCACTTGCTCTCTTTTCCTGAATGCTCTCCAGTATTCCAAAAAGTTGAGCCATGCATTGAAGAAAGTTCTCCAAAAGTCGCTTGAGTGATTGCAGATAGAAGCAACAAGAACTCTGCCTGTCTTTCCCTCAAGGCCGTGATTAATAAAACCTGAGGAAGGCAGTTTCTTGGTTTAATTCACAGCTTCACTTTATTCTCTTTACTGGGGCAGAAACCCATACATTAATAAGAAATTAGGTGGACGGGGACTGTTTTCATGTCTCGGTATAGTGGTATAAAAGAAATTCAGTAATGAAGAATACCTATTTCCTAGCTGGAAAAAAGTGCACTCATTTATTATTATTAAATAGCTAATTTGAAAAGCTTGTATTATTATTTAACTCAGGTATCACTTGCTGATAATTTTATAACTGAGAAAATTTTTCTGGGGCTATAACTTAAATTAAAACATGCTCTAAAGTTGTGTTTCAAAAGAAAAATAAAAAAGAACCCACCAATTAAAAGCAGTATTTTGTTCTATAATACATCCTTCCTGGCAGTGAAACTATTTTATGGTTCCAACGTAAAAGCCTTGGTTAGAATGTTTTGCTTTGGATCCTGTTTTTAACTGAGCACTACCTTTGTGTTACTCATTCTTATGATTCTGTATTTACTGAGAGTGAATATGAAGCACAATTCATGGCCACCAGAGCTCTGATCTATAGTGTTCACAAGCATAATAACCACAGATAATTTGTGCAGACTGGATTGGTGGTCTCCGTTGCGTATATCGGTATCTGTGACAGGCAGAATCTAGGTCACAAGCTACCAGGCTCACAGCACAATGCCTGGCATTGTGTCAGTTACATGAATCCATGGGAACGAAGAGGAGAAGCTTGAATTTCACCCATAGCATCATGGGGAAAATGATGGGTTTTTTGACAGAGGCCGAAATACTGTCTGGCCATTTCCTCCTTCCTTTGGGACATTGGGATGATCCAGAGATACTTCCCAACAAACTAAGCTCAGTTAGCCATGCATGCTTCATTCAAACTCAAAGGCATGGCCTTATCTCTAAATAAAATACATGGAAGACAACCACTCAGGGGGGTGGAAATCAGAGATTTAGGACACCCTGGGCTACAACAACAACAACAGTATAGCAGGGGACAGGAAGGCTCCAAGACAATGAGGCTTAAGGTTCCCTAAAACTAACAGAGCTGTGCTTTTAAAAGCTTGTCATCTGAAACTAACAGAGGATTGAGAAAGAAAATTAGTTTGACATTCTGAGGACCTAGTGTTAAAAAAATACTAAAAAAGATTTGCTCAAAAAAAAAAAAAAACCAGAAACTAAATCTAAATTAAATGTAATTATAAATACTTAAACGCACACCCCCTCATAAATTTCCCAGCTGCCCTGGATGTCTCTCACAAAAGGAGGTGCTGGAAGAGAATCAACAGGTCGGAGATACAAACACCAAAGGAAAGAATAAGACTTTCTTGGTTAAGTTTAGGCCCATTAGTCCAACTTGGCTTCAGATAGTTAAAATTCATGCTGGAGTCACTTTGGAATGTTTGCAACCAGTCATTTGCCCCAGTTAAGAACAAAGTTAGGACTGAGCATAAGAATCCAAAACAAGCAAAAGTCATTAAGAAGAAGGTAGCCCAAGAGTTACAGGCTTTTATGTGAAGCTATGGAATCAGGGAGTCATTTTCCCATCCATTCCTTTCTCATGATTAACTCGATTCTATCCCTGTGTCTTTGCTCTCTCTATCATCCTCTCTCCTTTCTGGAAAACCACGTCTGTCAAAGTCAGGGGTATGGTAAGTGGGAAGGCCTCTGGGCTAAGATTGAAGACCCTTGAGGCTTGCACTTAGAGCTAATACAAGCAGTGTGATTCTGAACTCAGATTCTTCAAGAGTGAAGTGAAAAGGTTAGGCTGCATGGTCTCTGCCTGCTCGGGCCGCGGTAACACAGTACTGCACGCTGCGCAGCTTAAGTAACAGAAATTTATGTCCTCACTCAAGGCTTTGACAGGGCTGGTTTCTCCTGAGGCCTTTCTCCTT